TTCGGTTTCAGCATTGCCTGAGTTGCAGGGTTTTGTGAATATGCTGAGGGAAATATTTCATTGTTGTAACAGCACTTTTTTTTTGCTTTATCTGGCACTTTAGCTTATCTGAACTGTTAACCTTGAATCTCTTAAGATTAATTATTTCACTTGAAAGCTTTTCTATACTTGCATCATTAACAAAATCAACTTTGATTCCCAAACCTTTAGAATGATTTTGTATTCCCTTTCTCCCCATTCTGTAGATTCAGTTAGCCTAATGCAAGCCTCAGATCCATGCGATTAATAACATACTCCTTCCATTAGATGAATTGCATCAGTTCAAAGTTCCCTGTGTCCCTAATTGTTGCAGCTTTTAACAGGAAATGGTTCTGTACAGTATGTTCACTGCCAGCAGAACCACTAAAAATATCAAAAATTAAAGGCCAGGAGACGCTCCTGACATTTTGGGGGGTTGATTTGATTATACTTTTGGAAAAGCATCCTGTAGTAATGTAGATGCAGATTTTTTTCATTCCTGTTTCATTCACAACAACACCTACGTTTCTTCTTTTATATCAAATGAGGCAATAATTTATCCTGCCTGCTCAGTTGTTGTATCCACACAGCAGCTCTCTTATCGCAACTGAGCAGTCTCTTAATCACAGTGGCCAGAAATGGAATTTAGGGCTTTTGAAAGCAAAGCACATGGTATACAGACCCGCAGCCAACTTATAGAGTAGGAGGCAGGAGAAAGTATAGGGAGCAGACAAAATGTATATATCCCGGTATCCATTTGAAGTGTGAAATAGTAAAGATGGGCCTTTTTGTAATTGAGAGTTTGATAATGTCTGAGATCAACGCAGGCTAGAACCATGGACAGATCTAGAGCATAGAACTAGATAACTATTCTCCCCTTCTAGATCTGTAAGATCTTGAACAGATAAAGCTGGAGACAATGAGCTGAAACCAGGAAAAATCACTTTGCTGGTCAGTCAGTCATGCCTTATGTAAATTAAATCTTTAAAAATATGAAAAATATCAATGTTAAATATTATTGCTAAAACATTAATAAACTTAAAGTTGCTTGAATTGTACAATTGAAGCTTAGTATGGCATTAATAAACAAATATAAAATGCATTAAAGTATTTTATTATATAAAGAAAGTTTCCATTTTCTAATGTTTAATACTAAGGTCTTCACTGTACTGATATTTATTATTGTTTATAAATGTTTAAAAAGAGGGGTGGAGCCGCTTGGGCAGTAGATAAGTGTTTGAGTTTTGATTCCCCCTTTTTTATACAGGAGCTGATTTGCAGTATTTATAAACATATAGACCCTTTTAGAATCATAGTGGTATTGTTTGTATTTGCTTCATTGGGTATATGGAAACCATTCTTGATTGAATTGGGTTAAACTTCTGTTGAAAATATATACTGTTTTTGTCATCAGCTCATGTTGTTGAAGGTTAAGATCCCAATTAGATATCATTTAGTGTAGTGTTTTTCTTCCAATATTGGATAAAGTTTATTCTTGTTGCTGTGAACTTATAGTTCAATAAATTATGTTTCTTGTTGATATATTCTGAAATTATACCTACTTAAAACACTAATTTAATTTCAAATTTAAATTCTAAAAGTCTCTATGTGTGTGTTTGTGTGTGTACACACATATACACATATTATATACACATACATGCATACATACATACATACATATTTTTCCAATAATTTTGAGAGGTTTTTTATATGTCCAGAAGTGCACATATTCTTCTTATTCCTGGCCCAATCAGAAGTCTCATTGCCATCTAATTGGAGAGGTCTAGGACCTAGACTGTTAAGATTGACTTGCAATATTCTTTGGCAGCTGCTAGAATTGTAACTGTCCAACCAGGTTCACTCAACAGCAACATTACTGCCTACTTCCGCTGACTCTATTACTATATAAACCAAAGAAAGCCTATCATGTTTTTGAGAACTATCTCACCTGTTAACCCTACAATACCTATTATATGATATTTAGTTTAAAAGGTTATTAAAATAGCTACTTTTCTAGTTTGAAATCTCAGAGACTGGACATATATTTATTATGTACCAGTAGTAGTATAGAGTAATGTTATGATGATTGTGGTGGTTTTCCAGCATTGAAGAAAATCTGAAGATGATTTTATGTGAAGGTAGGAAATCAAATAAGTTTTATTCACATCTAACATGTAGACGGCATATGTGGATTGAGTAAAAAGCAAGTGGCCTCTGGGATATTTGCATTCCTCCTGTAATCAAACTCTTATTGTTAGCAAGTATTATAGAACTTAGCACTTAAGTAAGCCCAGAGAGAGTGTAAAAGGTCTGCTAGCAATCTATGTAGACTTCATTATAATATTGGCAGGACTTCAGTTCTGTATGGCTGCAATAATCTTCCATTAGTGCTATTTGTGATATTTTAATTTATTGTAGATATCTTGAAAGCTGCTTATACGTGTTACTTCCTACTGGTGTTCTGATGAAGCCATTAGGTTCTGGACTAATAGCACAATTCTAGTTTAATCCACAAGGAAGAAAAATTCTCATTGATTTTCATGTCATGAATTCTACCATTAAGGCTTTTCACAATTTGTTCCAAATGAGTCATCCCTGTGGTAATGCTTTCATACAGCCTTGATGAGTTGTGCTTTTTCATGAAGCTTGAAAATGCACTATTTTGTTTAAAGTGCTCTTTATTTTAGAAATCTCACATTGCTTTTGCCCAAGAAAACCAAGTGCTACAGAAAGTAGGAATTGATAGTTCCTGTTCATATAATATATAAGACTTCATTTAATCATTCCCGTTATTTACTATTTAACAGAATACTTAGAAAATTCATTGTGGGTAGTATTTCATTAAGTGAATTTATATCTTCATTTTTCTTGTGAAACAATTCACAAATAAACTGGAATTACTTGTTATCAACTTTCTTTGCACCATAGTGAAAATCTGGAAAAATCTATAAGGAATATCATAGACTAGTAAAAGTTTACTCTACAGAATAGCTGATTACAGGGGAACACAAACAATCTCACCTAATCAAATCCTTGACCTTTTAGCTAATCTGCAAGGATAAAAATCCTCACACATATACTCCACTTGAAGGCACAGAAATAGGTCCCTCGTTTTTTCAGCACATGTGCCCTGTTCAGTTAGTGCTTAGGTTGCTGGGGGTGCTGCCACAGCCATAATTTTGGAGACTGGTCCAACTTCAAATGGTCACTGAACTAATTGTCATAATTTGAAGACTTACCTATATAAGATTGCACAAGTCCATAGTTGTTTCTGAAATGATGCAAAGCCATTATCTAGAGGCAAACCTACTTTGCTTCAAATGCCTGTCCTGAATGTTTGCTCCATTTATATCATAATCTAAGTAAATGCTACCATTTCAGTTCTGATAAAAAGATTTTCCTCCTTGTAGCATTTTGGAAAATATTTTGAGTTGGATACAGAGCAATTTGTAACATAGCTCCTTTAAGAATAACGAGACAATGATAACTAATTCTGGTATACATCAACATACTGCCTATGTTAAAGGCATACGGCTATGTTAAAAACATATGGCTAAGTTAGAGGCATGAATATATTTTGGAAGATACATTACTAGCTTTAAGCTCAAAAAGCTCATATGAATATAAAAATAAGGGACTGCAGGGAGGGGGCGAGAGATTGGAATAAGTGCATGATGACATTGTCACACAACTACCAGTTTTCATACTCGTGTCAGAATGTGTGTGACACAAGTATATAAATGCTGCATTCCCATTGTAATAACACCCTCATTTGTTACCACTGATTGTAAAGATTGTAGAATTGTGTAACTTCTCAAGATGACAAACCATAATGCAGTATTATGCTTATTTTATTTTAATATAAATGGAATAGTAACATCAAATAGTATTAGTGAAATAATTCAGCAGTGGGTGATCAGCATCCCGTAGTGCATCTGGCAAATCCTGTTATCATGACAGCTTTCTCGTACCAATGAAGTGGTGCCACTCATTTCTGTACTAGTGGGAACTGGCAGTCATGTAGATTGCTTACCCCCAGCCATTACATTGATACATTGGGACTGGGAAGTCAATAAAGAGCTACCGAGAAAAATGAATCACATGCAGTTGCCTCACAGGGGAACATTGGTTTATCTTAGGCTTCTATTCCCTGTGGTTTCAATGCCCTCTTTTAAAACATTGATTTTTCTCTTCCAATAATGTAGCAGTCACTATATTGGAATGGGGTGGGGGACCAAATGGAACAATAGTAGAAAAAAAAAAGATAGAATCTTCCACTACTGTCAGGACTTATTCTGCAGGGATAAATCTTTCTAGAGTTTAGCCAATATTTTTTAATTTCTGTAACATTGTGGTGGCAATTGAATCTTAATGATTTGGTATTAAAGTAACCAAAATTGCAAGATAAAAGAGCACAACTTGATTATTCAAGTGCTGCAAGAGATTTCTTCTGATTCCGATCCCATTTACAATATTCAGGGAACTGAATGATGTGTTGGAATGATTTTTTTTTAAAGAAAATCTGTTTATTTTATCTATGTACTGGATCCTTCTTGTGGAGAACTTCACAGCCTCTTTTGAGGTATCAAAGACATTTTCCTTTACTGTAAAGAGAGATCAATTCTGTTATCTGGTTGTTTGGGGTTTTGGGTTTTTTTCCTCCCTGCTTCCTCTTTATATATCCTTCCTTGATTAGCCAAATTTGTACATGTTTCTCTTCCCCAATTTTTCATCATTGTTGGAGTGGATCTAGACATTGAATTGTGGTACAGTTACCTACGGAATAAAACTTTGTGTACACAGACATACACATGCCAATCAAGCAAACTGGAGGAGCATGGTTATCGAGGACATCAATCCTAAAATATGAACACTGGGAAATCAATGGGACTGGATCAAATTATTCTAGCTTGATCATTTATCACTACAGTGTGGATTGGTTCTATTTTATTAATTTTTCTTTTTTCAACTCCTTCAAACAGCCTATACCAGGAATCAAGGGGACATTGCAACTCAGGGCTGGTTTATTGGACTGATGTGTGCCATCGCTCTCCTGGTCCTGATTTTGCTGATAGTTTGCTTTATTAAGAGAAGCAGAGGAGGGAAATATCCAGGTAAGAGAAATAGCTATCATTGATATAACGCTCTTCTTTTGATTTATTTCAAAATATATAATTCAGAATCTAATTAATTTTTCTAATCTGAAAGCACTAGAAAGATTTATTCCCAGAACCACTGAACAACTGGGACACTAAAAAAGAATTAATGTTATCAAAGCAGGGTAAAAGGGATTTCTTGCTAGATAGGGATGCTTTATTTCATTATTTACATTAAGATTTGATTGAATTTATGATGGTTATAAAACTGTTAGCTTATTTTCTGGAAAAGTATTATTATCATGTTCTCCCTTTGGGAAAATAATCCTTCCTTTTCATCTCATCATTTCGTCTTTGAGTTGAATTAATCATTTTAACTATTGCTTTCATTCTTTTATATTTGGTATCAACCTTTAGCACCTTAAGTAAGTAGCTTTCTTGTTTTTTTATTTCTTTGTTTATTTAGAAATCAATTTTTAAGGCTTACCAAGTCATAATAATTCTGGATGGCATATAAGTTAAAAATACAACCAATAAAATCAGCAAGACAAACATAGGAATGGACATAGCCAATATATTCATACAGAAAGCACAGATCCCTTAAGCATATATCCCCCTAACCTATTACCTAGAGAAAGAAACAGATCTTCAATACCCATTTTAAAAACAGTAGGGTTAGGACTAGCAAACTTCCAGGTTGATATTACTGGAAAGGATAGGCTCTACAATGGAGGGGGCTTGTCTTCTAGGTCACATCAGACATTGGAGATGCGAATGCTCCGATGGTCGGTAGACCTCACCCTACTCGATCGCGTCAGGAACTAAGAAGTGCGTAGACGGTTCAATGTCGTGCCCATCCCCACGGTCATGAGGCAGTCCTGGCTACGATGGTTCGGCCATGTGAGTCGCGCTAAGGAAGAATCCATCATCAAATCTGCGATGAAGGTGACTGTCGGAGGAGCGAGACCGCGTGGTAGACCTAAGCAACGCTGGATGGACACGATCAAGGCCGATCTAGAGATCGCGAAGGCAGACCCGACATACGTGGCAGACAGAGAGGCATGGAAGCAATACTCAAGGACATTAGCGGACCTCGCCAGAGCGCGAGACAAACGCTGAAGAAAAAGAAGAAGAAGAATCAGACATTTTAATGATGGAACCTGGAACTTGTCGTCCCCCGCCTTGAACAAAAAAATGAGAGATAGGTGGTTCATCAGATAGCCCAGCCCTTTACCATGAAGGGTTTCATAGTTCACAACCAGCATCTTGACTTGTATTCAGAAATCTTTGCACCTTACACAACAGATGTATTATATGGAAACATCGAGATACACCCATAACTGCCTGAGTTGCCACATTCTGGGCCAAAGGCAGCCCCTAGACAGCACACTGCAGTATATCCAGGATACATAATACTTGAAATAATACTTAAATACAATGTTAAAATAATACTAAATAAAAATACATTTATATAGGAAAAAGTCTTAATAGTATTTATCTCCCTGCATTATTTTGGATAATGTGTTATAGTTGTATGAAGATTGCCATATTCTCTCCCTAACTCCAGAAACCTCTTGAAGTATTTCCTAAAAGTTGAATAAGATTGTTATGATGTGGGAATTGCATAACATTCATTGTTCAATATCAATATCATTCTACTGTATATGAAACATCACTAGTCAGTTGGAAAGAATAATGTATTTATATAAATATTCATATATATATTCATATATATTTATATATATATTCATACACACACACACACACACACATACATATACATATGTATGTATGTATGTGTATATGTATATGTCTTTATTCCCTAGAAATAAGTCAAAAATATTATCTGTTGTCGATATAAGTCATAACACTAGATAACGAGAACCCAGTTAAATAAATGAATTAAAAACATTATACTTGTTCATTGATTTATGGAGGAAAATGACTCAAAGCTATATAAGTACCACTGTAACTGGCTAAGGCAGAAGACTAAGCTTTCCTTCTGGTGTGCACAGGATTGATCAGCATCAAAATCTTTGTTTTGATGCATCATGGACTTTGGCACTGCAGCGTTCAGGCTTGTAGTCTACAACATATGGAAATTGGATCAGTGCTTTTGAGTTTTTAATTGTTTACATATCTCTTCACAGTGCGAGCAAATAAAGATGTGCCCCTTGATCCTGATGATCAGAAGGTAGATAATGGATCATTTGATTACAGGTATGTTTCTCACTCAATATATATATCAGGCATTTGCTATTTGCTTGCCAAAGTAACTCCTTTCTAATTTTATTTTCATGAATTTACATTTTACTCCTCTTTATCCTTCCAGTGTTGCTTAAAATCTCTCCCAAAGAAAGTACCAGTCTATGTATTTAATAAATATAAAAATGAAATCATCATTTTCTAAAATGGGTCCACTGAAGGCTATGAGTAAAAAATATGTAGGTATACATATAAATACATGCATACACATGGAGACATACCTCTGCACATCAGAACCATCTTTATGAAGGATGGAATTCCTCTAGGTTGAGTCATCCAAATATAGATGAAATATAATCGACTCAATAGTGTAGTTCCAATTATTTTGTATTGTCTAATTTATCTATACACTTACATTGGTTCCAAGTCCTTTTGAAACCTGAAAGGATAACACAGTGTTCTTAGTGAGAATTTAATCACTTTTGAATGTTGAATGATGAGCTCTCTTGAGGGCTCAAGAGATCATTACATCAGATAAGAAAGGTAGGCACTGTGGGTGAGTTAGCAATTTCCAGAATCTTCTTTGGTCTGTAGTGCCAAAACAGACATGAGTAAAAACATTTGCCTCCTTCTGCTAGTCCACCCCCAGAAATGGAAAGAATAAAGAGCCAGTAGGTTATTTCTTAGGAAGAATAAGCCTACATTTCTAAAAGAAGAAAAGAGATGCTTCATATTTCTGATTTACTGAAGGATAAGTTGATAGCCTCTACGGAACCTACTGAATCTTTCTGACAATTATAGTCTTATAACTTCCAATACTATCACTACTTCATGTAAATTAAAGACATCTTTTTGAGGACCACAGCCACTTTTTTCCAAGCAAAAGTCTGTTCTTTGGCTGTTCACAGATGGGTCCTGCATTCAAGGTTTACATTTGTTTCACCTTTACTTCCAAGGAACTGAAACAGGTAACACTGCTACCACTTGCTAAATTAACCATATATTGTGAGCCTGTGTAACTTGGCGCTTCAGTCCCTTGCTTGCTATTAAAACAAACAAACAAGAAGAAATGTCCAGCTATTCTAAAACCGTAGGATGATTTATTCAAAATACAATTGCTCTCCTCCCAAATTCAATACTTTTATTTTATAGCTAACAAGAATAAAAGTTATAAAAAGACTTTATTAAAATTGCAGGGCAAGGTCTGGCATTATGTGTATAAGAGCCATGGTGGCACAGTGGTTAGAATGCAGTACTGCAGGCTAATTCTCTGCTCACTCCAGGAGTTCAATTCCGAGCGGCTCAAGGTTGACTCAGCCTTCCATCCTTCCGAGGTCGATAAAACGAGGACCCAGATTGTTGGGGCAATATGCTGACTCTGTAAACCAGACTGTAAAGCACTGTGAAGTGGTATATGAGCTTAAGTGCTATTGCTACATGAAGCTGTTTGGAAAATTGAGTACAGGACTTTGAAAAAAGAGCAATGTGTAAATCTTGTAGTGCCAAATCATATTAATTAAACTGCTTGATTAATTTGATAGCTATGTGTTTTAAGTATCAGAGTTGCTCTAATAATGGCCATTCCAAACTTGTTCCCTTTCTGAGTTGTTTTTAAACAATGAGGTCAAAATTCCAAAATATATTAATTATGATTTAGAATTCTTTAGGCTACTCAAAGCAAAACAAAAAGTAATTTGTGTTTATATAGTAGATTGAATAAATGAGTTTCTTGGGAAATACCATATACCATTCATGAATTATCAAGACAGAAGAATACTCTAGTACTTTTAGTTAACTTGAAAAACACTATCTTGACTCATGAGATATGAACAGATGAAAGTTGCAAAGATAATGTTACATTATCTCAAAGAACACATTAGCACAAAATGAATAAAGAGTGGGTAAAAATACCAGCCATCAAAAATGTTGATCCTGAGATGGATCCTAATTTTTACTGACGTACTTAGTACTGTGAATACTGTTTCATGCTCCCTAATCTCAATTGCTGATAGGAAAACTTTGTAGTTATGATTTGCTTGTTTTTTAATTGTTTTATTTTTAATATTCATTTGGATGTTTTTGACTCTTTAAATCATGCAACCACCAACACCTAATTGGGTTATAACATGATATTAATGGAATCATTAAGTAAAATGTCTACATGAATATGGATAGCACCTGTTCTTTCTTTCTTTTTTTCTGTGGGGAAAAAAACCCTAGAGCTGAGTATAATTGTGTTATTCTGCTGATGGAAAAATATTATTAAAACCTACATTTTCCCTATGCATATCCCAAATTTACTCCAAGGCAGTCAAAGGCTTCCTGGTATCAGAATTGCACAGGACAAAATATGAGAGTAAAGGAAGGTCACATTTCACCAGCAGAAGTACTCTAACTTAAACATCTCCTTTCCAAAGCACAGTTAAACCTGCAAGCAATATTATCTCACTTCTTTTAAAAAAGAATGATTGAAGCATTTTTGAAAAAAATGCATGTGGATGAAGTAGAACATTGTAGTCCCAAAGGTGTTTTTTCAAGAGGCAACTCCTCTTTGAACATTTTTCTTTGAAAATGTTTCGTTTCTCACCCAAGAAGCTTCTTTAGCTCCGACTGGATGGTGTGGAATGGAAGAATTTATATTCCTTGCAGACAGCTGGTCATTTATATTCTTTTTAGAGAGTCATTGAGGCCACTTGGATTTTTGTCTGTGCATAGTTCCACAACACAGTCCTTTCAGCAGTTCTAAAAAGGCTTCACACTCATTTGCGCTACTCAGATGATCCTGAGGACACAGACAAAAATCCAAGTGGCCTCAATGACTCTCTAAAACAGGGATGTCAAACTCGCAGCATCACAGCGGCATCACGTGACATATCATGACTTTCCCCCCTAAACTGGGCATGGGAGTGGCCAGTGCGTGACGCATCCGGCCCATGGGCTGGGAGTTTAACAACCCTGATATAAAAGAATGCAAATGACCAGCTGTCTGCAAAGAATATAAATTCTTCCATTCCACATCATCCAGTCAGAGCTGAAGAAGCTTCTTGGATGAGAAGTGAAATGTTTTCAAAGAAAAAACAAGGAAGTCCAGTTGCCTCTTGAAAAAGACTTTTGGGACAACCACGATTTGGATGACTGAGAATCTTCATAGATATTTAGAACATTGTAGCTCCATTTTATGGGAGAATAAATATTGGGTCAGTGATATAGAACCAATTCCCAACATTAAGAACTGCCTACGTTAATTGATTACTAAAGTATTCTTATGATTGTTTTTATTTTACAAATATCAATTTCTTATTTATGCAAGAGAAAAAAGCTATGATATAAAATATTATATTTTCTTCCACTGGAGCCCAAGAAAGAAGGCTTTTTGTTGCTTTTCCCCCCAAAACATGGCTGCACAACTTAATGCAGGGTGTTAAATAGAATAGAATAGAATAGAATAGAATAGAATAGAATAGAATAGAATAGAATAGAATAGAATAGAAT